ACCTTTTCATATGAAGAATCGATTGGGCCTAAATCCAGCCGTATGTTCGTTTTCGGCCTTCAAAATACTTTGTTTCCTGGACTATTCGGGATTGCGCGGAAAGTTTTCATTTTTGATGCTCTTTCGAACGAGCTATCTCAAAGGGGGTCCTCCCATTTGAAAAGTAAAAGTTGGGGTCCGTTGCCCCCCCCCTCCCCAAGGGAGCCCCCTGAACAATTTAAGGGGGTCGAAAAGTAGCTCCCTGTGACGTAGGAACATCCCCCAAGTTGTAAATCTTTACCTCAATTAGGTAAAAAGATGGAGGGGGTGGAAGGGACTTTTGGATCACCCTGTATGTACGTATGTATGTATTTCCGCCTTTTTGAGATACTTAGATTTTTGAGTAGTTATATCTTTCTTACATTGCAAGATATTTTGACCAATTTTTTTGCATTTTGTAGAATTTTATTAGAGCTACTATTCTGCGAAAAAAAATTGAAATTTGAGGCATTAGATTTTGAGGGGCGGGGCTCAAAAGTGGGGGAAGGTCAAATGTTGTCCACTGGATAACTCAAGCGAAAATGAATATTTTGAGCTGAAATTTTTATGAATGGTAGTTCTCCGATAGGACTAGTTTGGTATCCAATTTGAGCTAAATCGTCGTAGCCGTACAAATGGCGAGCTTTGAAAGTTTTAGGCGGGGGGTGCGCGGCATGAGGGGAGCCGGCCGAAGTAGGGCCGGCCGCACAGTGGGTCAGGGGGAGAAATATTTTGGACAAGCTGATCGTCGCACAGTGAGTCAGGGGGAAGAAGTTTTTGGAAAAAGTGTTCGTCGCACAGTGGTTCAGGGGGAGGAAGTTTTTGGACAAAATTTTCATCCCACAGTGGGTCAGGGGAAGGAAGATTTCGGACAAGTTTTCTGTCACTCAGTGGTTCAAGGGAAGGAAGATTTTGGACAAACTGTGCATCGCACAGTGGGTCAGGTGAAGAAAGTTTTTGGACGCACTGTTCGTCGCATAGCGGCCCAAGGGAAGGAAATATCTGGAAAAAAACTAATCATTACACAAAAGCTTACAGACGTATGATTCCATGACTACACCAATCTTACTTCCGGAAATTCACTTCCTTCCCGCGGTGGATACGCGGGACACGTAAAAAGAATAAAAACTAGATGCGGAGAAAACCTTGAAAAGGCGGCGCGCGTCCTGGTGGGGCGAGGCCCCTCAAAAGCCGGCGCTCCGCTTCGCTCCGTGCCGTTTTCGTAACCCATCAGGGTCCATTTTGTAAAATCATGTCAGTTGTGAATGTTTTGAAACAGTTTGTAAGTTGCTTCAATTTTTTAAAATACATTTTTAGGAGAATACAAAGTTCTTAACCCGCAGTTTTCTTTGGTTCTCTTCTCTCTCTTTCTCTTCCTCTTTTAAAATTTTTTTTACAGTGAATGTTTCTGCAGGTCTCTACAAATGGAGCAAAAGATGGGCTGGGCGGAATAAGTATCTCACTTTTTCAAGCTCAGGAGCAGGAACCAATCTTGAAAACCACAACATCAACTGACGGTAGCTTCTCCTTGCATCCAGTGCAACCAGGATCTTACAGAGTTATGGCCACTCATCCCAGGTAAGGACGTTTTAAAGTTGGACACATGTTGAGGAGGATATTTGTCAAATCTGCTCTAATATCAGTAGGATATGTTGTCTCTTCCAGTTTAATTCCTTATTGAAAATACATGCGACCTACTCTGTCTATCACCGGAGAGGCACCAGAGTCATCAGAGATAATCCTATCAGAAAAAGTATGTCAAAAGTTTTTTGGCAAGTTTGTGATGTGTAATGGGCCTGTTGCAAACTTTTGCTAGAGCAAAAATAAGAGTTGTTTCTTGTAGATAATGCCTCAAAAATCACGATGAGCGCATCGGCAAAGTCTGAAATGCACTCATAACTAGAAATTTGCGTTTTTTTAAGCTTCCCGCTTCAAAAACGATACTACGGCGTAGGTGAACATTTTGTTAGAGGAGTCGCTCCATCGTCGGCGATATTCATCATGGCCGACACTTGTGCGCAGTTTTGCGCGTAATTCGAGGAGAGTTCAAGGTCAATCAATGCGGGCGTGGAAAACATGAACGTTAAAACACGCCGATTGTTATCTGGTCTAATCCAGTTCAGGTATTATCTCGTCCCATCATACGTGTTTTGGCGGATTGGCGTCGGCCATGATGAGTATTGCCGACGATGGAACGACTCCTCTTACAAAATGTTCACCTGTGCCGTAGTATCGCTTTTGAAGCGGGAAGCTCAAAAAACTGCAAATTTCTTACGCAGACTGTGAAGTTATGAGTGCATTTCAGACTTTGCCGATGCGCTCATCGTGATTTTTGAGGCATTATCTATAAGAAACAACTCTTAGTTTTGCTCTAGCAAAAGTTTGCAACAGGCCCATTTCATATGCTGTAAATTAGTACCAATTTTTACCATGTACTATGTTTCTGATTACTTGCACCCAGCTTATTGCTCGATAGATTTAAGTTAATTAATTCGGAGATCCATGGGGCGAATATCATGGCTCTGTGGCGCCATCACCACTAGCCAATCATATTAATGCTCTTCGGGCCGTCCACGCATGCGCTTATCAATACGCGAGGTAGCGGGCGCTTAGCATCTCTTTGTCACAAGTTCTCGCTAGTGCTCCATCCAACTCAGCTCTGCCGTACATCATCTCTGAGCGTAGCTCCTCACTTTCGAATAAGGCCCTTCACATTCTCAGTGAGCGCAGCCCTCATCTAGCGACTCCGACTGAACGAGCAAACGCACCTTGCATTATGGATCAGAACAAGCATCAAGCTTACATCCAAGAGCTCCAAAATTGGCAATTCAGAGCAATTTTGAAGTCCTAAGAATTTTGCATTGGACAGCTGAAATTTAACATCCACACAGTGAACAATATCATTTAGTTGAATTTCATCTTCAGGTTTCATGGGTGGCGGTAGCCACCTCCGGACAAAGTCTAAACTCGACAACACTGGAAAGCGTTCGAACGAAAAAGGTGGCAGTCAACCATAGACTCACGTAACTCCCTTATTCTGAAAATTGATTCGGTTCTAACTCGACTTCAGCCCAAACGACGGCACGGATTCCAACGATCTTGGTGTTCACTGACGCACCTAGATTGAGCCTACAAAGTGGGAAAGTTTCATCAAGATCCATTGAGTTTTCAAAAAGTTAAAAGCACTTAAAGGCCCAAAACGACAAATATTTTTTGTAACATGGGCCGTTTAGTAGCGGGAAAGTTTGAAATTTCGAAACACACCTGACATGATCACCTTTCACAACAGATTTCTTGCTTACATGGCTGCAGATTTAATGAAACCTACAAAGGATCATGCTTGAAGATATGAGGATTTCATTTCTACCACATTTAATAGGGTTTCAATGCTCGGATAATTTAGCATCGGCAAATAACTTTTAAAATTTTAGTTATAAATTTTCCAAACACACCTGACATGATCACCTTTCACAACAAATTTCTTGCTTACACGGCCGCAGATTCTAATGGAACTTACATAGAATCATGCTTGAGGATATGGGGATTTCATTTCTACCACATTTAATAGGGTTTCAATGCTCGGATAATCCAGCATCGGCAAATAACTTTCAAAATTTTAGCTATAATTGTTTGAATTTAGAAAAAACCGGTAGTGGTTCAATGCCATTTGTCGATTCCGCTCAGTTCAGCCAGTCCAGTCCGATTTCGGGAACGAAATTTCCCGTTCTGATTCGTGATCAACATCTTACTAACTAGTTGTGATTGATTTAATTGATAATTAGTTGTAATTGATTTAATTTAAATAAGAGTTCAATTCTCTGTAGATGCTAACTACTATTTTTACGCACTTCAATTATTATGTCGCACGTCTTCTACCAGAGCCCGATACACTATTTAATTAGTTTCTCCATAAAGGTCAAGTGATGTGTTTATTTTGAACGATGGATTTCAGAAGTGAGGGTATCAGTCCGTGTATCTATCTCACCTAGAAGCATAAATAAATGTAACTCAGGTAAATTACGTCGATAAAAGGACACCAAAGTTGTGCCAAACTATCAAAAGGAAGCAGGATTTACACCACAGTGCAATCTCGTCACTAAAAGCATCCAAAAATTTCCCTACCATGCACACCAATGAATCAGTGGATCGAAGGGAGAGTCAACGACTATTACTCTCAGTTTTTAATTATATTACTGTTTTCGTCAAGTCACGAATGCTAATTTTCATATCTTCAAGAGATCTAGTTGTTTCCAGTGGACCCTATCAGTCATAAGTAAAGTCCTAAAAATTACTGTAATATGAGCCTCTGCCCATCACACGACATCACTGTCGCGTCACTGTCACTATGCTCTGATCGAAGTTCATTCGCTTTAAATTTTGCTTTCAACCTACGTGCTCTGGAGTGCTTGTGCTCTTCCTAAGTGTATGTTATTGACATTAAGACCTTGTTTTCTTCATGACTAATCTTGGAAAGCTTTTGCCTCTTACCGTTGCTTGTTTACATCAAAGACATCATGGGGATATGGGGATGCGAGGTATAATTCAATCACTAGTCTGTGTGTTCAATCACTAGGTCAACTTAATGTCCCTAAATCAGAGATCTTTGACGATGAGTATTAGCTCAAATTTGGTTTTCTCCAAGTCTCTTTGATTTTGCGTCAGAAGTTGTTAAAAACACCATTTTGCCAGTCAATGTGTAACATAGTCTTTCATGAAAGGTATGTACTCGTTCTATTTTCGCAGCTTGATGATTACTTTTAAATGAAGGTTTTATTTTGCTGCATGAATCGCTGGGCCAAGTAAGTACGTAGCACCCATTCCTTCTCTATCTTTACATATGAAAACTTGATGTAAACACACCAAATAGTGAGGTTATGTTATGGACTTACACTGGTGGTGTAGCTACCGACTGTTAGATAGTATGTGAATATATTGTGGTGTTGTTGGTCGATGTGTCACTGAAGTATTCCATCTTCACATAGTGAGAACTTTCCAGGCTTATCTTCTAGTATAATCACTCCAGTGAAACAGTGCACTCTGAAATTCATTGAGCGTTGGGTCTATGTATGGTTCGTGTGCCTACCTAGTTCTTAATGGAATAAATGTAATCGGGTGAATCAAGGCCAAAAAAGATTAGACCAATCAGTAGCGTATATTATCAAAAAGTTTGTGCTTCGGAACCAATTGCGGAACATGCTCTGATGAAGAGTTTGGGGGTGGTGTTTTTAGTCCGACGGTGGACAACCAAATTACTAGGAATCCATGAACTACCAGGTAAGTGAGAGGTAGCCTTCATTATCTTTTATTCGAATGAAATGACTCCATTAAATTTAAATGCTTACTTCATGCCAGTTATATGATTCGACAAATTTTGTGGTGAAGCGACTTGAAGCAAAATAAATAAAAATATTCTCCGCTAGCGTCAATATAGGTTTACTGTAACAAGAGTGGCGGTAGCCACCTTCGGTGGGTAAAGCTGACAGTGTAGTATATGCAACAAGTTTTTCTCTTTTTCAATTAATTTTCTGACCGAGGTCATTGTAACTTGAGGTTGAAATTCAGTTGATCATTACCTGAATCGCTCAAGTTCAACAGAGTGCATAATATATGTACAATTTTCTTATCTTCATGTTTCAAGTCACATTCTTACACGCTGTTAAAAGAAAAAATACTTTTGTGGCGGATGGAGCTTGGCTGATGCACACTTTTATTGATAAATTAAATACCTCTTACAGGAAACACTTTTTATAATGAGTGAACAAAAAAAAAAAAATTAACTCTTTGAATGGACTTTCCACTTAGTGGTCTCACTGTTATTTAATTTAAAATTCTAGTGGCTGAATGTACCTAAGTATGTCCAACAGTTGAGTTAAACGCAGTAAAAATTGCAGTATTAATGTTGAAACTTTATGAGAATGGAATAATTTATGTGGCAAAAGAAGTTCATTCTAAGTAGCCTACATTATGACAAATAATTGCTAATCCATCAGTTTTTAATACATTATGTACCCTATTTTGATGAAAGAAGTTTAAACTCACCAAAACATCAGGTAACTTTAATTGATTGCAAACTCAATCACCCCCTATTAATGTTTAGTTGATCAAACAAGGAGTTTCAGTTCTGCTCATTGAAAATATAATTCTCAGCTTCTCCGTCTCCAGCCAAATGTTTCATTAGCTTCACATCATTCCAAAAACCACCTGATATAAACTGCAAAAACCCCAAAAAACTTTCAGATTTAAAGGGGTAAAGAATCCGGCCAAAGTCTTAAACTTACAAGGGGAGTCTAAGTGACAACCTGGGATTGGGTTCATTTTGCTTGTACATAAAGAAGAGACAAATCTTAGGTGGACGTATCTTTTTTAAGCCGCCACCTCCCAACCGTTCTCGAGATATCGATTTTTAAAGTTACGATTTTTGCACGTTTCCGCGCGGAGTTCCGGCGAGTCAACTGAGCGCCGGCAAGCTGCACGGAGCGCGTTCCCTATGAGCGCTGCAGACCGGCCATCCTTATCAACTGCTCCGTGTCCGAGTGGCAGAGGGTTCGTCTACCGTTCCATCGATCGCGGGTTCGAGT